TGAGGTTTACCTCAGACTCCTTCAGTGTAGACCAGGCATGGGCCAACTTGGACCCTCCGGGTGTTTTGGACTTCAACTCCCATAATTCCTAAGAGCTCCAGGCCCCTTCCTTTCCCACCTCAGCCACTTAAGCGGCTGAGGGGGAAAAGGAAAGGGCCTGAGGCTGATAGGAATTGTTGGAGTTGAAGTCTAAAACATCTGGAGGGAGGGCCCAAGTTGGCCTGTACCTGGTGTACACCCATATAATGCAAATTATACCACATTGGATTATATGAGGTTGGATCTACAGTTGGCCCATGCCTAGTCTACACTGAATCTATCACACTAGTGAAATCCTGAGGAGTCTGAGGTAAACCTCAGTGGGAGAATCTCAGTCTGTGAGGTAGGCCTCAGTGTGACGTAGGCCTTAGTCTATGAGAAGGCCGAGTATGAGGAAGGCCTGGTGTGAGAAGCTTCAGTGAAAGAAGCCCCAGGTTCAAGGCCTCATGTGTAAAGCTCCAGTATGAAGGCTGCTATGCATTAAAAGCTTTTCACACCAGGCCTTCCTCATACTCGGCCTTCTCATCGACTAAGGCCTACCTCACACTGAGGCCTACCTCACAGAGTGAGACCTTTCTCCCACTGAGGTTTACCTCAGACTCCTCAGAATGACACTAGTGCGATAGATTCAGTGTAGACCAGGCATGGGCCAACTTGGGCCCTCCCTCTAGGTGTTTTGGACGTTGATTCCCACAATTTCTAACAGCCTCAGACCCCTTCCTTTTCCCCCTCAGCCGCTTAAGCAAACTTGGCATGGGCAAACTTGGGCCCTCCAGGTGTTTTGGACTTCGACTCCAACAATTCCTAACAGTCTCAGGCTGTTAGGAATTGTGGGAGTTGAAGTCCAAAACACCTGGAGGGCCAAAATTGGCCCATTCCTAGTCTACACTGAATCTATCGCACTAGTGTCATCCTGAGGAGTCTGAGGTAAACCTCAGTGAGAGAAACGTCTCAATCTGTGAGGTAGGCCTCAGTGTGAGTTAGGCCTTAGTCTATGAGAAGGTCGAGTATGAGGAAGGCCTGGTTTGAGAAGCTTAGGTGAAAGAAGCCCCAGGTTCAAGCCTCGTGTGTAAAACCTCATGTGTAAAGCTCCCATATAAAGGCTGCTATGCGTTAAAAGCTTCTCACACCAGGCCTTCCTCATACTTGGCCTTTTCATAGAGTAAGGCCTACCTCACACTGAGGCCTACCTCACTGAGGGGGGAAAGGAAAGGGCCTGAGGCTGTTAGGAATTTTGGGTGTTGGAGTCCAAAACCCTTGGAGGGTCAAAGTTGGCCCATGCTCATTTATTAAGGCCTTTCTCACACTGAGGCCTATCTCACAGACTGAGACCTTTCTCCCACTGAGATTTACCTCAGACTCCTCAGGATAAGACTAGTGCGATAGATTCAGTGAAGACCATGCATGGGCAACTTGGGCCCTCAAGTGTTTTGGACTTTGACTCCCACAATTCCTAACAGCTTCGGGTCCTTTCCTTTCCCCCCTCAGTGAGGTAGGCCTCAGTGTGAGGTAGGCCTGACTCTATGAAAAGGCCAAGTATGAGGAAGGCCTGGTGTGAAGGTTTACCTCAGACTCCTCAGAACGATATGAGTGCGATAGATTCAGTGTAGACCACGCATGGGCAACTTGGGCCCTCAAGTGTTTTGGGCTTTGACTCCCACAATTCCTAACAGCCTCAGGCCCTTTCCTTTCCCCCCTCAGTGAGGTAGGCCTCAGTGTGAGGTTGGCCTGACTATTAAAAGGCCAAGTATGAGGAAGGCCTGGTGTGAGAAGCTTTTTACACATAGCAGCCTTTGTACTAGAGCTTTGCACATGAGGCTGTACACACGAGGCCTTAAATCTGGGGCTTCTTTCACTGAAGCTTCTCACACCAGGCCTTCCTCATACTCGGCCTTCTCATGGACTAAGGCCTACCTCACACTGAGGCCTACCTCACAGACTGAGACCTTTCTCCGACTGAGGTTTGCCTCAGACTCCTCAGGATGACACTAGTGCAATAAATTCAGTGTAGACCAGGCATGGGCCAACTTCGGCCCTCAGGTGTTTTGGACTTCAACTCCCACAATTCCTAACAGCCTCAGGCCTGAGGCTGTTAGGAATTGTGGGAGTTGAAGTCTAAAACATCTGGAGGGAGGGCCCAAGTTGGCCCATACTTGGTGGACACCCATATAATGCAAATTATACCACATTGTATTATATGAGTCTGGATCTACAGTGCCGCATAATCCAGTTTCTGAATCCAGACTGTAGTCCAACACATCTTCCATGGAAGATGAATCGGGCCCTTTGTCTTAAGTAGATCTAACTTTCTAATCTACCGGTCCCTTAATTTAATGTTCAGCCTCTAAAATTAGAAGGTAGATAAAAATCTGTGTTTGTGGGAGAAGGATGGTTGAGTTCTCCAAAGAAGCGGCAATGTTTTCCAAAGCGGAGCTGGCACGTTTCTGCCGTTGAGCAGGTCGGGCCAGGTTTTCACGTGTGTTTCGAACACTACAGTAATAGGGTTGTTGTAGGTTTTTCCGGGCTATATGGGCATGTTCTGGAGGCAATTTTTCTCCTGATGTTTCGCCTACATCTATGGCAAGCATCCTCAGAGATAGTGAGGTCTGTTGGAAGTAAGAAAAATGGGTTTATATATCTGTGGAATGACCTGGGTGAGACAAAGGACTCTTGTCTGCTGGGGCTAGGTGTGAATGTTTCAGCTGATCACTTTGATTAGCATTCAATGGCTTGGAAGTGCCTGGGGGAATCTTTTGTTGAGAGTGATTTTATGGGAATCTCAGACAAAAGTCCTTTGTCTCACCCTGGTCATTCCACAGATATATAAACCCATTTTCCCTACTTCCAACAAACCTCACTATCTCTGAGAATGCTTGTCATAGATGCAGGCGAAACGTCAGGAGAAAAATTGCCTCCAGAACATGGCCATATAGCCCAGAAAAACCTACAACAACCCAGTGATTCCGGCCATGAAAGCCTTTGACAATACATTACTACAGTAATACATTTTTGAGTGATGGACAAAGTAAAAGAATATTGTGTCTGTTTGTCTCCAAGTCTTAGGATGCATCTACACTGTACAATTAATATAGTTTGACACCACTTTATGTGCCATGGCTCATTGCTATGGAATGAACCCCCGGTGGCGCAATGGGTGAAACCCTTGTGCTGGCAGGATTGCTGACTGACAGGTTGGTGGTTTGAATCCAGGGAGAGCGAATTGAGCTCCCTCTGTCAGCTCCAGCTCCCCGTGCGGGGACATGAGAGAAGTCTCCCACAAGGTTGGTAAGACATCAAAACATCCGGGTGTTCCCTGGGCAACGTCCTTGTAGACGGCCAAATTTCACACCAGAAACGACTTGCAGTTTCTGAAGTTACTCCTGACACACACACAAAAAATTGCTATGGAGTCCTGGGAGTTGTAGTTTTGCATGTCTTTAGACTTCTCTTCCAAAAATGTTTAGGGCCTCACCAAAGTACAAATCCCAAGATTCCATTACATTGAGACATGGAAGTTATCGGGGTGTCGAACTGAATTATTTCAGAAGTGTAGACAATCCCAAAGTCCTCGTTCCTAGGTGTTTGAGCTTGAACCCACAAGGAAGTTGAAAGTGTTGTATCTCAGTCAAGAGATAAAATTGGAATTATGATGGTAATAATAATAATAATAATAATAATAATAATAATAGCAATGACAATACAGTAGACTCTCAGTTAACAGGACTCAGGCAACCAGAACTCATAAGCAACTGGCAGAAAAGTGGAATAAATAGTATTATTATTATTATTACAAGGGTTGAATGAAAAGTAATGCCTCCACCTTTGTAACTCCTCATCAGATGGCAGTACTGGTATATGGCAGGTACTGGCTTGTTCAGGAGACTCTCCTCTACAGTTCCATTTTGGCAGGAAGCCTTAGCATTGAATGGTTGAATTGTTAAAAGTGCAAAGTATGGAACCCTGCGCAGACGGTTGGTTAATGCGACTTAAGCAACGTGCAGTCATTGACTTCTTGACAGCAGAAGGTGTCACCCCAAAGGAGATTCATCAGAGAATGTAAGCTGTTATGGTGATTGTGTCGATGTGAGTACTGTGCATCGTTGGGTTGACACTTTATGCTGTCAAGAATTCAATGACTGCACGTTGCTTAAGTTGCATTGACCGACCGTCTGCACAGGGTTCCATACTTTCCTTCCTTCCTTCTCTTCCTCCTTCCTTCTCTATTTCCCTCCTTTCACCCTTCTCTCCATCCTTCCCTATGTCTTTCTTTCCTTCCTTCAGTCTTTCTATCCTTCCTTCCTTCCTTCCATTCCTTCCTCCCTCCTTCCAGGGCAATCACTTTTTGTGCTGTAATATCTTTTTGCTTTTTTGTGTTTTTTTTTCAATTGTGTGACTTTTAACGAAGACTACCTATTTTTGATCTCCCAAGAGCACGATTTAAAAGCAATATATTTTTTGGGAGAGTAGATGTTTTGGGGCAACTGAAATAACACTTCTGGAGATCTGCAACATATATTTTGTGCGTTGGCATATCTTTGTTCCTAACAGTTCAGAGAGATAACCAGGTATATCAGTCTAACAACTGAGACGCCTAATTTGCCTTGCATGAAGACTTGTGGAGAAGATGCACTCAAACAATCTCAGGAAGATCAAACTTTACAAAAGTGTTATGATTATTCCAAATAGTGTGAATGCCAATCAATCGCCAGAAGGATCACATTTCCAAAAGGCTACGGAGATGTCTGGTTTCCCCAAAGGTTATGATCTCTAAAAGGTCATGCCTTTCCAAATGTTTACAATAGAACCAATTAGGAAATGACATTTATTACCCAGGAGCAAAAATTGTGTTACATAATTGTGTTGTTGTTGTTGTAATAATTGTTGTTATAGAATTGTGTTGCTTCTTTCCATACTTGTGCCTGCAGCCGTTGGCTAACTTTCCTGTTTTGCTCCTCTTTCAGGTTCCAGAACGAGGGGGGCTATGTCTTGTACCCTCAAATCGGGGACCGCCTGGACTTGATCTGCCCGCGCTCGGTGCCGCTGGGCCCGTTCTCCACCGAGGACTATGAGTACTACAAGCTCTACCTGGTCCAGACGGAGCAAGCGGAGCGCTGCGAGATCCTGCGCACCCCGAACCTCCTCCTCACCTGCGACCGCCCCGAACACGACATGCGCTTCACCATCAAGTTCCAGGAGTACAGCCCCAACCTTTGGGGCCACGAGTTCAAGACCAACCAGGATTATTACATCATCAGTAAGTCGGGTTCTCCTGGGTTGCTTGGGCTGCATCTACACTGTGGAATGAATGCAGCTTGACGCCACCTGAAGCTCCTTCAACAATGCCATTTAGACAGATTATCAAAGAAGATAATCCAAATTATCTGCTTTGAACTGGATTGTATGGGTCTACACTGCCATATAATCCAGTTCAAAGCAGATAATCTGGATTTTTATGGCAGTGTAGAATGAACCTGAACTGCCATAACTCAACAACACAGCTTATTGAAGCACCAGTACTCTTTGAGAGAGAAGTCTGAAGGCCTTGTAAAACTATAAATTCCACAATTCCATATCATTGAGCCATGGCGATTAAAGTGATATCAAACTGCAATCACTCCACAGTGTAGATACAACCTACAGCTGTATCTACACTGTAGATTGAATGCTGGTCTGTCTACACTGAAGAATTAATGTCGTTCGATACCATTTTAACTGCCATGGCTCTAATACATCAACAGTAAAGCTGGATCTACACCGCCATATAAAATCCAATTATCTGCTTTGAACCAGATTATATGACAGTGTAGACTCATATAATCCAGTTCAAAGCAGATAATCTGGATTATCTACTATGTTAATCTGGATTATATGGCAATATAGATCCAGTCTAAATTGGGTAGCTCTGTGTTAATCCAGATTATCTGCTTTGAACTGGATTATATGAGTCTACACTGCCGTATTATCCAGTTCAAAATAGATAATCTGGATTTTATATGGCATTTTATATGGCAGTGTAGAAGGGGCCTGAACTGCCATGGCTCAACACTATGGGAGTTGCGGTTTATTGAAGTACTCTTTAACAGAGAAGGCTGAAAGCCTTGTAAAACTATAAATTCCTTGATTCCATAGCCATGGCAATTAAAGTGATATCAAACTGCAATCATTTTTTGGTGTAGATACAACCTACAGCTGCATCTACACTGTGGATTGAACACTGGTCCGTCTACACTGAAGAATTAATGTTGTTCGATGCCATTTTAACTGCCCTGGCTCTAATACATCAACAATAAACCTGGATCTACACTGCCATATAAAATCAAGATTATCTGCTTTGAACCGGATTATATGACAGTGTGTTGACACACTCTGGGACTATAGCAATTGTCTTTTAAAACAAAACGTACTCTTTGTGCCCAGCGGAACGCCAGGGTGCCTCGGCTGAGCGGCCCTATGGATTGTCCTAAACAAAGTCTTTAGAAACTTGGAAAGTTTAACAAAGTTCTTTATTATTGTGTAGATCTTCGACAAAGCGCACAAATTCTTCTTAACTTGGCCACAAAGGACAGGCAGCTTGCTTCGTGAACTATTTCTTTCTTTTACAAGGAAAACCCTCCGACCCCTCCCTGGGCAATTTGTCTTTAGGCTGGCTGCCGTGGGGCTTTACTCCCGGTTCCAATTTGCTTTTTGGGTAACTGAGTAAACCTTACCGGCCAAAACTTTAGAGATTTTCCAACTGGAGACCTTTGGGTCTGTAAAACTGTTTTCTTTAGGGCTGTCTTCCCCAGAGGCTTTGGGACTATTTCCCTCCGGAGCTTTGTAAGAAACGGAGCTTCTCTACAGGTGGGAAAAGCTCTCACGTCCTGTAACTGAGCTTCCAAACTGTAAGACTGAACTAAAAAAAAACTTGCTTTTCCCTCCCAGAACCCTGGGGAAAGGGGCGGAACTAAAGAACTTAAAGATGATAGGCAGGTGGCTGGCCCTATGGCTGCAGCCTGGAAGGAACCACCCAACTGCAAAATGCATGGCCAAAACAAACACATGCATAGAAAGGAAATTTAGGCTTCTGGTACAGCTGTACCAGCACAGACAGTGTAGACTCATATAATTCAGTTCAAAGCAGATAGTCTGTATTATCCGCTTTGATAATCTGGATTATATGGCAATGTAGATCCAGTCTAAATTGGGTAGCTCTGTGTTTCTTTGTCTGCAACTACACTGTCGAATTAATGCAGGGTGTATCTATACTGAAGAATTAATGCAGTTTGATACCACTTTAGCTGCTGTGGCTCAATGAGATACAATCCTGGGAGTTCTTGTCCCCTCCTATATTGCTGTATAATCCAGATTATCAAAGCGGATAATCCACATTGTCTGCTTTGAACTGGATTATATGAGTCTACACTGCCATATAATCCAGTTCAAAGCAGTCTGATCTGGCCACAGTGGTCCACGCTCTTGTTACATCGCGAATAGACTACTGCAACACACTCTACGTGGGGTTGCCCTTGAAGACTGTTCGGAAACTTCAAATGGTCCAGCGAGCGGCAGCCAGATTACTCACCGGAGCGTCATACAGGGAGCACACCACCCTGCTGCTATGTCAGCTCCACTGGCTGCCGGTTCAGTTCCGAGCACAATTCAAGGTGCTGGTTTTGACCTACAAAACCCTGTACGGTCCAGTCCAGTGTATCTGTCCGAACGTATCTCCCATTATGTCCCACCCCGGAGTTTGAGATCATCTGGGGAGGCCCTGCTCTCGACCCCACCACTATCACAAGTGAGGTTGGTGGGGATGAGGTGCAGGGCCTTCTCGGTGGTGGCCCCTCACCTGTGGAACTCACTCCCGGGAGAAATTAGGGCATCAACATCCCTCCTCTCCTTCAGGAGGAAAGTAAAGACGTGGTTGTGGGACCAGGCCTTTGGGCAATCTGACAACTAGGTAAGGACAATCAAACGACTAGGACTGACAGGACTGACAATTGTGGAATTGGAATTGGGACTATGAGATAGCGAACGCTGACCGTCTATGAGCAGTAATTAGGTTTGTATTGTTTCATTGGTTTCATTGGTTTTAGGGTTGTAATGCAGGAAGTGTTGCTTAACTGTTCAACTGTTTAACTGATGTAATTTTGTGTTACTACTGTTATGTGATGTTGGCATCGAATTGTGCCTTTGTAAGCCGCCCTGAGTCCCCTTCGGGGTGAGAAGGGCAGGGTAGAAGAAACCGAAATAAATAAATAAATAAATTTTATGTGGCAGTGTAGATGGAGCTGTAGTTTTACAGTTTTCAGCCTCCTCTTGTCAATTAGTGCCAGGGCCTTACTAAGCTATGACTCCCTCGATTCCCAAACATTGAGCCATGGCAGTTAAAGTGGTATCAAACTGCAGTAACGCTGCAAAGTAGAAGCACCCTTTGTCTCTCTTTCTGGAAGCTCTGTTGCTTGGATTGGAAGAGACACTCCCCAGCCTTGGGGTGTCTGTAGGCGGTTGACTCTGATTTTAGGAGCCACCTCAGCAGTTGTTCTCTTCGGGACGTCAGAAGAAGGCAAGAGGCCAAGTCAGGAGAACAGGAAAGAGGGGGAGAAAGTGTTGCCAAACAGAGCCTTGGAAGCCCAAGTTCAAATTAGCCAGCTATTGCTACAGGGTGAGAATGAATGAGTGAAGTTCGACATCACTTGATGTGATATAGAGTCCCAGGAGTTGTAGTTTTACAAGCCTTCTTTGCCAAAGAGTGTTAGGGCCTCACCAAAGCATCCCAGCATCCCATAGCCCTGAGCCGTGGTGGTTCAAGTGGTGCCACACTGCTATCATCTTGCTTACTTAGACAATCCCTTGTAGTCCGAGGATGATGGTCCTCCAAGTGATGTGTCTTGGCGGTGGGTACGTAGGTGGGCGGTGAGGGCATCGTTTTCCAGATGGAAGGTGGTCCCTGTTGGGGTTGGCTTGACACCTCTTCCTCTTGGCATGTTTCTCTCTTTCGCCCTCCATTGTGCCTCTTCAAATTCTACAGCACTGCTGGTCACAGTTGACCTCCAGTTAGAGCGCTCAAGGGCCAGGGCTTCCCAGTTCTCAGTGTCTATGCCACAGTTTTTAAGGTTGGCTTTGAGCCCATGTTTGTATCTCTTTTCCTGTCTACCAACATCCCATTTTCCTTTCTTTAGTTCAGAGTAGAGTAGCTGCTTTGGGAGACGGTGGTCAGCCATTCAGACAATGTGGCTGGTCCAGCAGAATCTCTTTTCCTGTCCACCAACACCTCATTTTCCATGGGTTGTTGTAGGTTTTTTCGGGCTATATGGCCATGTTCTAGAGGCATATTCTCTTGACATTTCGCCTGCATCTATGGCAAGCATCCTCAGAGGTAGTGAGGTCCTCACTACCTCTGAGGATGCTTGCCATAGGTGCAGGCGAAACGTCAGGAGAGAATGCTTCTAGAACATGGCCATATAGCCCGAAAAAACCTACAACAACCCAGTGATTCCGGCCATAAAAGCCTTTGACTATACATCCCATTTTCTGTTCTTGAGTTTGGAGTAGAGTAGCTGCTTTGGGAGATGGTGATTGGGCATTCAGATAACATTGCCAGTCCAGTGGAGTTGATGGCGGAGGACCATCGCTTCAATGCTGGTGGTCTTTGCTTCTTCCAGCATGCTGACGTTTGTCTGCCTGTCTTCCCAAGGGATTTGCAGGATTTTTTGGAGGCAGCGCTGATGGGATCATTCCAGGAGTTACATGTGACGTCTGTAGAGAGTCCATGTTTCACAGGCGTAGAGAAGGATTGGGAGGACAATAGCTTTATAAACAAGCACCTTGGTCTCCCTACGGATGTCCCGGTCCTCAAACACTCTCTGCTTCATTCGGAAGAAGGCTGCACTTGCAGAGCTCAGGCTTGAGTATCATCTTGCAATATGGATACGTCTAGATAAGAGTGTTTAAAGAGAGCCACAGGCAAATGCTGGCCACCTTGGTTAGACCACACCTGGAATATTGTATCCAATTCTGGGCACCACAATTGAAGAGAGATATTGAGAAGCTGGAATGTGTCCAGAGGAGGGCGACTAAAATTATCAGGGATCTGGAGAACAAGCCCTATGAGGAGAGGCTTAAGGAGCTGGGCATGTTTAGCCTGAAGAAGAGAAGCGTGAGAGGAGATATGGTAGCCATGTATAAATACGTGGGGGGAAGTCATAGGGAGGAGGGAGCAAGCTTGTTTTCTGCTTCCCTGGAGAGTAGGACACGGAGCAATGGCTTCAAACT